CGTGCCGGATGTAGCACGTTTTTGTCATGGCAATGTTGGCGATTCTGAATTTGTAGATCGATTGTTTGTCTGACAAAGTTAACTGCGGGTTTTGCGGTAATTGCTTTTTGTTTTTTTCTTTTTCGAGTCAGTTCGAGAATGACAACTTAAAGACATCGAAGCGCGATACGCTTATCCTAATAACACGTTATTCAGTCTTCTACTACTTTATAGCTACTTTTGATTGGACGAAATTGCTGTTTTTTCCCAGTTTGAGATTGGTAAAGCGACTCAAATTGTTGAAATTGTTTTCCTTTTTGAGAGGTAAAAATTATCCAAAATTTGGATGTTTTTCGAAATTAAACAACCCAATTAATCATATTGTCAAGCCGTTTTGAGACGACCTGCTACCAGTAATTTGAATAAAATGAAACGATAAATTCCTGATTTATCTAGCTTCGCATAAATCAAACCTTATTTTATCGAGGTTTTAGAAAATTGTTTTTCAAAATAGTGTTCCGTTTCACGACAAAGTTCGAGTGGCAGGAAACGTCATTTTACACTGCTTGAATAATCTATGAATTCCTTTTAAGTGCTTATTATTTTGAAGTGAGTTATGTATGAAGTTAATAATAAAATAAAACCCCCCTCCCCTGATAGCTCTACCGCTGCTCCTATAGGCCATTTCAAAAACTCAATCATTCCGAAGCTATTTCACATACGATAAGCATGGCCCCCAATACATTATCGATGCTGATATTTCGCAGATAATGTACTGAAACTTTCAACCAAGCAGTAGAAACAATCAATATGAAACTAACGATTTTAAATTGGCTCACTACTTGACTAGCCTATTGGTCCCAAGCAAACGATTAACGTACCCCATTCTAGTCAAAATTCTACTACTACACAATGTTTGTTTTGATTCGCTATGAAAGTTTGACAGATAAAATGAGGGGTTAGTGGATTTTCCTATGTTTCGACGGGTGAATCGATTAGCTTGGGACCGAAGAGAGTACCAGAGTTGAGCTAAAAAGTTGAGCACATTTCTTCGGGACCTTCTGGTAGTAGTGCAAGACTTGATTGAATCTGGAATAAGAATTATACACGGCGAATGAGAACGACCCAAATTTGAGTTTAATTCACTCATAATCGCCAAAAGTGCAGGAACTCAGCAATGAGTAAAATTTGTCTCATGCAAGACTTGATTGAATCTGGAATAAGAATTATATACGGCGAATGAGAACAACCCAAATTTGAGTTTAGTTCACTCATAATCGCCAAAAGTGCAGGAACTCAGCGATGAGTAAAATTTGTCTCATGGTTTCCTGTGGAAAACCTAAAAAATCTGCCGGAAAATGAGGACATTGACGAAAATTTTATTCAGTGTCGGAGTAGTACCAATAGACTGAGTGAATCCAATCTTTACTTTTCTCAAATTCGGGAATTTTCCCTGGAAGATCCTGGGAAAACATGAGGCAAATTTACTCATCGCTGAGTTCCTGCCGTTTTGGCGATTATGAGTGAACTAAACTCAAATTTGGGTCGTTCTCATTCGCCGTGTAGGCATTTGAAAGAAAAGGGAAAACAACTTAACTGAGCGTCACGTGGAACAAACGGTCATCTTCCGGAACGCAAACATTTCTTAATGTAAAGGAAAAGTTTGGCACTCTAACTGATCACTTTCTTCCAATCCACCTTTTCAACACTGTTCCTATTTAGCGTCACATTAGCAAACAATGTATATTAATTTTTAAATATTTTCACACTTTAAGGCCTGTATAGGGATCGAAGCGAGGTGAAATTTCATACAAAATACTAGATTTTGCAGCTGCTCGTGAAAGTAACAGCAGCTAAGCGAAAAGTTGACGTTTCTAGAACAGCGTATCTGACAGATTTTCACTTCACCGGAGGTGTAAACTGATCGATTTCGTTTCACGTGAACTGTGAACTGCGAAAAGAGGAAATTGGAATATGTTACACAACCTTCTTCTTCATTCCTTTATTTAACGTCGGTCTCTCCCTTTTTATGGATATCACACCCATTCAACACACATGGGCCGGAACCAACGGCTTTACTTCCCTTCCGAAGGAAGACGTGACCAGAGAATTTTATATGCCTCAGAAAAATCCCACCGACCTCGGCTGGGATTGAACCCAGACCCATCGAGGTGAGAAAGCAGTCACGCTTACCACTACACCACCGGAGCCAGCACAAACTCTTTCGCTAGCGAAACTTCATGATTTTTCACTTGCTTCAAATTTCACTTCACTGTGAGCTGTATACTAGGCTTTAAACGACGGAGCAAAACACAACACATAATTTTCGCAGCGCAGCCTACATCGATCTCAGAGGAATCAGAGCCATTTTTATGGTGCAGCAAAATTCCTAGGACAGGACCCGCCAGCTGCTAGTGAAAAAAAGACCTTTCGTCTGTCAGAAAAGGTCACTTATGATTGCTTGAATTGACGAACGCCTGCTTTCACACTTTGTTGTTGGCTTGGCCGTGCTGCTAGCAGTCGGTAATTTTTCTCATTTTGTTATCGTTGACAAAATGGCAGCTGACCGCAAACAAATCTAGATAAACATTTCAAATGGTCCTATCTGCATTAATTGATTCTCTTCATCGACTTTCTCTTTCGTTGGTAAGTCAGAAGCAAAACATTTCCCTGTTGTATTTGACGTTTTGGACGCTAGATAAGAACCTCCTTTATCAAACTATGGGATTTAAATAACCCGAAATCCAAGGGGTAAGTCACTCAGCACATTGTGCCGAAATTAGATTCAGCACAGCTTGGGCACATCCATCGGCAAACCTTTGGCCCAATCTCGTAGGCATTGGATTGTTGTAAATAAAATGGGAGCACTGCTGGACAACTGTCATTGAAATTTTTCAAAACAATTGCTGTTTGACTGTATATTCAGGAACATCCTCTAATTGAATATATTTGAGGAACTCAGACCAGCAGCTCACTTATAGATTTAAATTCGAAATGTAGGTTAATCAGATCTAATTAATTCCCTTAATTCCTCTTTTAATTCAAATGATGCTGCAACTCACACAAAACAAACTACAGAAGCCTATTCATCATCCTCTATAGTCGGTCTCTAACAATGTTCACTACTGGTTCCAACTCTTTCCGACCGCCAATAGACCGTTGCTTTTCACATCATGAAAGGCTGGGTTTTGGTCTGCATTTGAGGGCATTATCTCGGGCATTATAAAACCCTAAAACACAGGACTTCTATTATCCTATGAACACAAAACACCAAAATTTCGCACACCCGCCACTTCCCGCGGCATCCTCAATCCGATTTATCCTTGCGATTTCAAACCAAAACATTCAAGGTGTCAGAAATACCGGGTTACCGGGATGGGTATTTTACAAACAATCGCAGCTTGCTCTATGACCGGCACAATCAGCAAACCTGCGGCAAACTTGCGGCACACTGACAAAAAATATGACTCAAGATAGATGTGCGGAGTGACCTAACCCTTGCCGAAATCTGTTTTCATAGCAGTGGTTATCAAAAGAGAAAGTCGATGAAGAGAATCAATCAAAGCCATTTGAAATGTTCATCGAGAAATGTTTGCTTTGTTTTGCAGTGGTTTTTTACGCATTTGACTGGGAAAACGAAATGCAGTGCACGTTATTAAATATGGTCGCAGTGACGTGTCAAACCCGCGGCTTCATGTTTATCAGTTCCCGAAGGATCAAATTGTTCGCCGGAAGTGGATTAAAGTCTGCTTGGGAAACGCAAATGAGGATGACATTTTTTAAAGCTTTCTCCCCACAACAGAATGTGCTGCGTAAGTGTAAATCGTAAATTGATTTAACTGAGTTTGGATTGATTGATAATTGTAGATTAATTTCCTGAATGGTAAGAGCAACCCAAATGGAACCTAGATCATTCAAATTGACGTCACTCCGTTGGACGATGATTGGTAAGATAAGGATGTGAATAATTGATTAATACCATAGAGGTAACTCTAAGACCACTGGGTCCCGAAGAAAATCATTATTATTTTTGGCTCACTCAGTACCAGAACAACGGTCCCAAGCAGTCCCAAGCTATTTCACTCACCCCTGCATGTTCTGCATGAATCCACACACCCCTGATGTTATCTGTCAAACTTTCATAGTGAATCAAAACAAACATAGTGTAGTAATAGAATTTCAACTAGAATAGGGTACGTTAATCGTTTGCTTGGGACAAATAGGCTACTAAAGTGGTGAGCCAATTTAAAATCGTTAGTTTCGTATTGATTGTTGTTAATACCCTGTTCTCATTACGCTCTATTTCAAGTGATATAGAGTGATTAGTGATATAGCAGCTATGAATAGTTCGTGATATAGCGCATATCTGGATCAACAATAGAAAAGGGCCCATCAGCATTTGCAAACAAACCGTTCCAAGCCCATTCCTCACAAAGCGAAGGCCACCCACGCAAACCAGCACCATCATCGGATAGGGGAAACTTCCACCTACACGATGATGGTGTTGGTTTGTGTGGGCGGCCTTCGATTTGTGAGGAATGGGCTTTGGAACGGTTTGTTTACAAATGCTGATGGGCCCTTTTCTATTGTTGATCCAGATATCATGTTGTGTACTTGATAAAATCCTGAACAGCAGTGACTGGCAACCAGGCCATGATACAGCTGGTCGCTATTTTTTGGTTTCAAATGTCACTTTTCCGTCGAGTCAATCAAAACATTTAAAAATCCGAACTGGCAGGGCAGTTTCAATCAACCATTCTAATTCTCCTTGCCCACCTACCCGAGACGAAGTTCTTCCGCAGTCAATGGCTGATTTGCGAGATTTGATTTTTTGATATTTTCCCAAAACTGCTAAAAATAACCCACCTCACTAACACAACTATCTTCCTAGTGAAAGCCGTGGAGATTGCAGAGGTGTATTCGGTCTCTAATAACATCGGACGTGATTTCATTTTATCTGTCAAACTTTCATAGCTAATCAAAACAAACATAGTGTAGTACTAGAATTTCGTCTAGAATGAGGTACGTTAATCGATTTGCTTGGGACCAATAGGCTAGTCAAGTAGTGAGCCAATTTCAAATCGATAGTTTCGTATTGATTGTTGGTATCATGCTTGATATTGATTTTACAAGCTCCTTTGATTTTGCGAGACTATTCACAACGTGTAAAGTTGAAGCTGAGAGTTGAATCGACGCAAAAATGATTCCGTTGCACCTCGTTTTCTAAGAAAGAGAAGGTATAATAATTCTACCTCTTTCTTCTCTTCACCGATGGCAGAAACGAAGCGATTGCTGCCAGCCGTTATGGAGGTTTCGGTAGCGTTCGGGTGTAAAGCAAAAATCATGAAACTCAAACTCACCACAGTTTGGTGAGATCTACAGCTGGTGAGTTTTGTTAGCTTGATATCTCGAGCTGCGATATCAACCGTAGTTGTTTACGAAAATCAAGCGTGATCTTGTTTTTTGGTGAGATTTGTTTTTTTTTTTATATTGATATCGATATTATTCCAACACAACATAGAACACAATTGAGGAAGAAATCAGCAAAACATCGAAATTTCTTCGTCCAAAATTGAAATGCGATAGGTTTTAATAAAAATTCTTTGCACCTTATTTCTCAAACACCGGAAAAAAATAGAAATTTCGTCGTCAAAAAAAAATCTTAAATTTTGTCGATAGTTAAAAATAATTCTAATTATATTACTCTCCCGCCTTGCTCTCTAAATTGTGGGACAAAAGAACGAAAATGAAATTAGAATTTTTAAATTTGCTTTCATTTCGATCTTCTTCCCGTCGACAATTAATTTTGCCATAGATTCTTTTCACTACTGACTCACTTTTCACTTCCGTGTCCGAACTGGATCATTTTGTCTACTTAAACTCATTGAGATCAACGAATTCACGCCCCACTTTTTGTTCTGCAAACCTCACTATTTCGGTTGAAAAAAAAAAAACCTAAAAAGTCAATCCAGAAAAAATGCTTGCTTCTCTCCTAAACAGACTTTGCACGACACGTTACTATCCTTTACAATAGGTACCTTAAATTTACCTGCTCCCTCCTACTACAACTAAAAATTTAAATATTTCCTCTCGGCTAGGATTTCATTTAAAAAAAAAATTACCTAAACAGGACTAATCACTTCGGGACTAATCGCTAATCGTTCTTACTAACGTAAAAAACGCGGAAGGATCGAAATCATTGATGGCGGCAGTTTTCTGTTCTGTTCCGTTCCATTCTCGCCCCCACTCCAGGGCAGGCCGGGTACAATAATCAGAAAGACGATTCCTACCGAAAAAAAAAAAACAAATCGATCACCCCTACTGTCTAAAGACCAGCCTGTGCCTATTACCTATGTACAATTGAATCTTTCTGTCCCGTTCGGTCCCTGGGTGGGCGCTGCTTGATAAGCAACGCGAGAAAGGAAACCATTGATTAAATTCTATACAATTTGCGACGCTTAGGACGCTCAGAGACACAAATTAAGGTAGTCGCCTTAAAACCTACTTCTTGCTCACCACCCTGGGTGAAGCAAGCCGATGCATTTTTGTTGTTGCACGCCGTCGAATACAGTTGAGTGCCTTGCGCGTTCGCTTCTGCGCAAGGGAACCGGAGAGCATCGCCATCGCCAGGGTCGCTGGGCTTCCTCCGGTGATTGGCGCCGCTGCCATCGGTCAGGATGTGGACGATGAGCTACTACTACTACTGCTGCTGCTGCTGCTGCTACTGCTGCTATTTTCGTTCGAGAGCAGCGACGATGAGGATGACGATAGCACCGATGAGAGGGATGATGTGGCCATTGACGGCGGATAGGACTCCTTCGGTGGTTTCCGGAGCTTCTTCGGTTCCGTTCGGGAGTTGAACGGAATGGGGGTACTGATGGTGCTGCTCGCACTGCTGCAACCGCTGGATGAGCTGCTACTGCTGCTGCTGCTGAAGCTGCTTCTACTGCAAGCCGAGGCCTCGGCCTGCAGCTTCAGGTTGAGTTCGTGAAGGCAGAAGAGCAATTCCGCGTTGGCCTTCCGGTTGGTCTTCAGTTGCATCTCGAGCTCGAAACGCTGATCCGGACTGAGCTCGTAGATTGAGATCTCTTTCGTGAGGGACACTTCCGCCTCCGGGATCCAGTCGTCAGAGATGCTAAAGGAAGAAAGGAACAGATTAGTTCAGCCGGGGTCAATGGGAAATCGTGAAATCATAATTCATGGGTACAGAAATGAACTAGAATTGATCGGGTTTCAAGTGCTTCTGAGGAACGGCATCGTACAGGCGTATCTGCTGTTCCTGAGAAACCTTAAAACTTTGTTCCAGATTTTTTTTAACATGTGAAACATGAGCGTAAACTGTTGTTAGAATCAAAGAATATTCTGTATGAGTGTTGTTTAAAGTTTAGTACGCAAAAACGAAAAACTACCCAAATCAGTAGGAATTTCACTCAAATTTTAGCTCCAGTTTCTGATCAGCGTGTTCTCACTTATGGGGTGTTTACATATATGCTGGTTAAGCACTGCTAACTAGCTCAACCAGCTCAACCAAATAGCACGACTTTCAGCTGCTCCTGAATCGACATGCTGATGGATGCTGAAACCTGTGTACACTGTGCTGACCACTTTTTTAGAACAGTGTTAGTACACTAGCACCAGCATACCAATGTAAACCGGGCATTAGTGGACAGTTCTGAAGAAGTTCATTTAATATAATACAGGTAACTATGAATGATTTTTAATTAGTGAAAAGCAGCAAAAGTTTTTAGCAAAAGTTGCCCAAGTTTGCTTGAAGAATTGGGTTCTTTAGTTTTGAAAAATGTATTGTTTTTTATACACCATCCGAAAGAGCTTCTTTTTCTGAGCACAGCGATATTTTTTTCGAACATACATTCATCTTGATTTTTAAATCAAGATTTAAAGCAAAATAATAACTTCACTGTTTGACACTAAACTAACAAACTGACAGCTCGCTCCCATACAAAGTGACACCGAGGGGCGCTAATAAGGTGATTTTTGCTAATGTAATCGTACTTATTTAAAATAGTTCCAATGTACCAAAATTGATGAAATTTTGGGTTTGGGTTCCATTTTTAATGCAGATTACGAATATGCATTTACCTCAATACCCTTAAAGAAGCCAATTGTTCAATTTGCTTTTTCTTTCCGCGAATTATTCTTTCTCAAAGTGAACAAAAACTTTATTTTTTTTCAAACATATATTTAATAAGACTTAACTGTATTTGCAAACTTTCCGGAGCCGAAGGACTTGAAACGAAAAACGTTCCCTCGATAGTTAAGGCCCACACACAATGCATCCGAATTTGATAAGTTGTGGAAAATGTTCCAGTAAAACAATCTGCTCTCATTTTTCCGCACCTGACATCCCTGGTACAGTTCTTGAAGCTGCTGAACATATTTATGCTCCAACCATGTAACATTTAATGCGGCAAGGTGGCTTCGAATTTAATGCCCTATCAAAACCATTCTTGGCCAGTTTAAAATTGATTTAGTTGTTTTTGAATTGACGAGGACAATTTGCGTGAATCAATGTAAAGTTATCTACAAAAAAAAAACTTCTGGTTGAACTTTGAAGAAAGTTCTAAATTAATTCGGAAAAACATCCGGAGAACTTCTAAACAAACATTGAGAAAAGCTCGGGAAATCCTGCCAATAGCAGTCGAAAAAAAACCTACGGAGAATGTCTTATGTCTCAAGAAGAAGACGATAAAAATTTCTGGGAGAATTTGATAGATACATCCGATATACGTTTCATTAAACTTCCTGGAAAAGAGACAAGAAACTTCTTGGAGACGCTGGAAGAAACTTCTGAAGAAAGTCGGAAGCTTTTGGGCTTACTCGAAAGAAACTTCAAGGGGAAGTTTGGAAAACAATCCGGAAGAAATAGATGTTTGCACAATATTCCCTGAAGATCCATACATGTTCTAATGATCCAGCATTTTTTCTGATATTCATAAAACATCCCTGTAGATCCCGAAGTTTGCGGAACATTGCTGACATGCACTTCGGTATATCAAATAATTCCTCGGAACTCCTTGAAAGTTCTTGCAATTTTCCTGAAGTTTATGGGGTTGTTTTGAAGTTCTCTGTTAACCCTCCATGTACTCGGAACCTCCCTGGTTATAATGAAACTACTGGAAAACCTCTAATTTTCTTTGAAGGTCTCTGAACTTTCCTTGAGATTTCGGAACTCTCAGTTTTCTTAAAATTAATGGAACATCAGCATTGAAGTTCTCTGATCTACCCGATTTTTTTATTTAATTTTTAAAAGATATTGAAACTGCCACTAAACGGTACGGTACCCTTAAAATGATCTAACGATTTTATAACGTTCATGTAACTTCCCTTGCATTTTCAAAATTCACATGAACTTCTCGGAACTATGCTGAAGTTTTCGGAAGTTTCCTGAGTTTGTATTACTTCATGCGTGAAGTTAACGATTTACATAGTTGGGGATGCTTAACGTCAAAAATTAGACTTAAACTGGGGATGCAACACATCCAAATCGGAATTCTAGATGGTCACAAAATCCATCTACTCGCATTGCTCTTCAACTTTTTGCAGGAAATCTTCAAAATCTCCATCAATCTTCTTTCTATCTGCTAAGCGTGCGCACATATCACAACAGCAAAGCGAAATTTTTCCTGCATCTTCAATAGAGACGCCCCTCGGACTAAGTGGTAATTTTATACGATAGATGAGGAGATGAAAGTATAGAGTTGATAGTTCCGTTAGAGTACGGCAGTGTGAAAATTGTTTATATAGAGTAGAAAGCGAGCAAAGGTCAATTTGAGGAAGGCACGAACCGGGTTGATCATCTCCTTTACCAAACTCCCCTGTTGGGGAGGGATGGTGAGGGGTATCTCCCTCCGCCAGCACTGGCAAAAGAGATGATCGCCGATTTGCTCACGTACGTTCGATGGGCGGAAACAGTTATATCTTTTCCTCGTGAAGCGCTCGTGCTTATTTACATTGCTTGGTTGTACCAGGGCCCAACAAAGTCAATTTCAATCGAAAATCGTAAAGCGACGACGTAGCTGTCAAGTCAGTCTGTCTTCTCTTCGAGCAGATCCGCTACAACATCAACAGAACCACTTTGATCAGTTTTCATGCTGGCATGAATCGTGTTCATTTTGTCTTTCATTGTCAAATGAACTTTCTTGCGCATTGAAGCGAAGCCGTTCAATTCAAATTCACGCAGTTTACTTCGGTTCATTTTAATCGGGACGACGTCTAGAGGCCGAAAATCGACGACCGACGCCATTTTGAAATCCAAGATGACAGCTTTCAATTTCAGAAAAAGAGGAAAATACTGTCAAATACCCATCAATATGGGTATTTTTGGAATCGGGATGACGTCGGGAGGTTGGAAATCGATGACCGACGCCATTTTGAAATCCAAGATGGCGGCTTCAGATTTTGTAAAAAGTGGGAAATACTGTCAACTACCCATCAATATGGGTATTTAAAAAAAAAAAAATTGAATGGCGTCTAGAGATTGGAAATAGATATGCGATGTCATTTTGAAATCCAAGATGGTGGCCTCCGGTTCAAGAAAAAGTGGGAAATACTGTCAAATGCTCATCAATATGTGTAGTTTTGGAATCGGTATCCGATGCCATTATGAAGTCCAACAGAACGGCTTCCGGCTAAGAAAAAATGGGAAATTCTATCAACTATCCATCAATGTGTTTTTTAGAATCAGAGTAACGCCTAGAAGCCGGAAATTGGTATCCGAAACCATTTTGAATTCTAAAACGGCGGTTTGTGCTTTCAGAAAACTTGTCAAATACCTTAAAATAAGGATATTTTAGGAACTTGGATGACATGTAGATGCCGAAAATCGATTCCAGACGTCATCTTTAAATCCAAGAAGTCACCATTTCTGGTTTCAGAAAAAGTGGGAAATACTGTAAAATACGCATCAATATGGGTATTATTGAAATCCCAGTGAAGTTTAGAGGCCAGAAACCGATTTCCGATGCCATTTTAAAATCTAAGATGGCGGTTTGGATTCAAAAAAAAAGTGTGAAACTCCAATCAAGGTGGGTATTTTTGAAATCGGCGTAACATCTAGAGGTTGCTAATGCCGTCGAATATCGATTTTTAGCATCTAAGCGTCGTCCCCGTTCCGAAAATACCCATATCTTAGAGTATTTAACACTTTTTCTGAGCCCGATGGCCGCCATCGTTCAAAATGGCGTCGAACATAGATTTTCTTCACCTTCCGAAAATAACCATATTGTAGGATATTTGAGACTTTTCCTGAGCCTGATGGCCGCCATATTAGTCTCCAGAATGACCTCGTTGTTATAATTTTCGTTTAATATAAAATAACAATTTATTACTTCATATAATCCGGATGCCAACCCTATCGGCAACCGATATTGTGCGGATACTATACGGATACGATATGTCCGACCTGACGACGCAACGCGTGACAAGTCGAATGAGCCCCGAATTGAAGTGAAAGCAAGGGGGGGAGGTGGCTATCAAATACGAACAATCGTCGCCTACCTCGCATAGCTGGGATCAGTCTTGTTAGCGGTCACGGTAGTCGACACATTTTCTGTGATAATTGACTGCCTTTGCCTCCGACACTTGCAACACAAGCTATCATAGTACAGTACCAAACTAAAATGTAATATGACAGGCTCTGTCATACGACACTGTCGCCGAAGACCGTCACGTAGGTATGTATTTTAGTTTTTCTCATAAGAAGAGCTGCTGATGTTGTACTTGTGTGAATTCTGAAAATAGCAAGTAATGATGTCCTAGAAATAATATTTCTGATCAGAAATGGTTTGGTTTACACCAGATTGAGGAATTACAACGAAATCGCACATGTCATATGATAGCTATTTTGATAATTTTCTTTTAGCTCGAATGTTATTCTACCGCTCGTGTTGCGTGAGAGAGACGACGGTAGAGCATGAGTGTTCGAATACAAACAGACTGTCGCGCATGACAACGAAGCGAGTGTAGTAAAAAACGTCAACTGTTTCAACCCCTGGCTGGGATAACTGGTTCCAAACGTAAACAAACCATAAGAAACCTACACCGTTTGTTTACGTTTGGAACCAGTTTCATACAAGAATGATCAGTAGGCTGATTTGACAGTACGTCCCCCCCCCC